CCATTGCACTTGTTTTACAATAATTTGTTTGTTCTAGTGCAAACTCTATCGCTCTCTTTTACCCCAAAAAAATGCTCTCTGTTTATGAAAATGGTTGCCAGGAAGCAGAATTTAAGGGAAATTTTTGTAATATTTCCTTTGATTGGGATAATTTAAAGGGTTTTCTATACAGATTTTAAAATGTTGTTCTTTTAATAGACCTAGACATAAGCTTTCGAAATTATATTAAAAGTTTTAGTTATGTTAAGTACAACTGGACTTGGAGCTTCTCAAAGTAAGCCATTTTTTGAGGGTTTCAAAAAGACCGAGTGAAGAAAAACCAATCTAACTTTAGAAATAGTTAACCGTTTAATACAAACTTTAGACTAATAATGGACGTAGATATGAGCTTTCAAAATTATATTAAAAATTTTAATAAAGTTGGATACAGCTGGACTTACAGCTTTTCAAATTAAGCCATTTCTTGGGAAGTACAAAAATAAACAGTAGACGAAAACGAGCAAACCTTCTGCATTAGTTAACAGTTTAATAAAAAATTTGGACTATTGCTGGACCTACATATAAGCTAAGTAAGTAAGTAAGTAAGTAAGTAAGTAGTAAGTAAGTAAGTAAGTAAGTAAGTAAGTAAGTAAGTAAGTAGTAGTAAGTAGTAAGTAGTAAGTAAGTAAGTAGTAGTAAGTGTAAGTAAGTAGTAAGTAAGTAAGTCGTAAGTCGTCCGTAAGTAGTCCGTCAGTCAGTCCGTCCGTCCGTCGTCGTCCGTCCGTCCGTCGTCCGTCCGTCCGTCCGTCCGTACGTCCGTCCGTCCGTCCGTCCGTCCGTCCGTCCGTCCTCGTCGTCGTCCGTCCGTCCGTCCGTCCGTCCGTCCGTCCGTCCGTCCGTCCGTCCGTCCGTCCTCCGTCCGTCGTCGTCCGTCCGTCCGTCGTCCGTCCGTGTCCGTCCGTCCGTTCCGTCGTCCGTCGTGTCCGTCCGTCCGTCGTCCGTCCGTCCGTCGTCCGTCCGTCCGTCCGTCCGTCCGTCCGTCCGTCCGTCCGTCCTACGTCCGTCCGTCGTGTCCGTCCGTCCTCCGTCGTCCGTCCGTCCGTGTCCGTCCGTCCGTCGTCGTCCGTCCGTCCGTCCGTCCGTCCGTCCGTCCGTCCGTCCGTCCGTCCGTCCGTCCGTCCGTCCGTCCGTCCGTCCGTCCGTCCGTCCGTCCGTCCTCCGTCCGTCCGTCCGTCCGTCCGTCGTCCGTCCGTCCGTCCGTCGTCCTCCGTCCGTCCGTCCGGGGTCGTCCGTCCGTCCGTCCGTCCGTAATCCGTCGGAGTCACGTCGGTCCCGTCGCTCCGTCCGTCGTCCGTCGTCCGTCCGTCCGTCGGTTCCGTCGAGTACCGTAAATAAGGTCAGTCCGTCCGCCCCTTTCCGTCTGCTCCCCTCCCGGGTCCTGACCGTTCTCGTTTAGCCCAAATTCAGTCTTCATTTAGTTCTCTTTAGCCCTTTTTTTTTACTTTCTTTCTTTATGGGAAATATCTTTTTAGTTATCAATTTAAATAATTCCCCTTTCCACCAAAGAAGATTTCAAAAACTATAAAAACAAACATATCTCATCAACTGACAACTGCATTAATTAACATATGAATGGTAAAAACAAGCAGACTGTATATTTTAAGGTATTACGAACCAGTTCAAAAAAAAAAAAAAAAAAAAACGACAAGTTTTAGAAAAACAAAATAAAACACAAAAAAAACAATATAATAATAAATAAATAAATAAGCCCTGAAAACCAGTAGCATTGAAATGACGTATTTTTTTAAACAACAACAAAAAAATGCAAGTGATTTGTTTTTTACATTCTAGTTTTAACAGTTTTTTTTAAATGACGACAATAACAAAATTAACATTTAAATTTTTAAAATTATTTTTTACTATTTTTCTAAACTCTATGATATTTCAGATGTGAAGTTAACCTTAAAATTTCAAAATAATTCTCTTTGTATACTCTTTATTCTCTTTTACTCTCTCTCTTTTTTTAAGGAGTTTCCTAAAGATTTAAAATTTTTAATATTAAAACTTTATTAAATGTCATTTAAACTCTAGTTTATTCTTTTCCAGATTTTATTTGCGAAAAAAAAATAATGTCAAAGTTTTAAACTATAAATCTTTGGAGCTCAAAAAAAAGTTGTTTGTTCTTTTATTGCTGATTCTTTTTTTTTTTTGAAGCTCAACACTAAAGCTGGTGGACAGCAGCATGTTGACAAATTTTCACACAAAACTGGCTAAAAGATTCAACAAAATCAAGGGTTTTGTAAGTAAATTTGACAAATCTTTTATAAATGATGCAAATAAACAAGAAAACAAATAAAATAATTGCAAAATTTAAGTCAACGAAAACAAATTTTGCAAAAATTTACAAGAAATAAGAAAAATTGTAGAACAAGTTTTCTTTTTTAACAAATTTTAAACAAAAAATTCAAAAAACTTTTAAAAATGATCAGTTTAAACGTTTCTAAAAGTAAATCCTCTAAATGTAACAGAAACAGCTATACTGCCGCTCAATAACTCCGGCAGCTCTTTAAACACTCTACTCTACAACAAAATCAAAAGCATACCTTTAGGCTTGTGTAATAAATGCAAATATTTCTTTACTAAACTCTTACATTTTCTTCTTTTTCTTGACGAAATTATTTAACTAAACGCTCTGGCAGCTCTCTAAACACTCAAAACTAAAGCATACCTTCAGGCTTATGCAATAAAATCAAACAGTTAATCGAAAAATAATATGAAAATTGTATAAATTTAAGGAAATTATAAGGAAAAAACTAAAAACTATATAAAATTCTAGAAAATCTAACTGGAAATTTATAAATTTAAAAAAATTTTCTCAAATTTCGATAAATTTGTGAAAATTTTAAACTTTTTCTAAGAAATATTAAAAAAAATCAAAATTTATAACAAAACGCCAGAATTTTAGTTTGCAACATCCTTTCCTGTAGTAAATAATATTTCGCAATATCATTTTCTTTAGTAAAATGCATTTGCAAGACCACATTCTATAGTAAATAAGATTTACAAGACCCCATTCTATAGTAAAAAAGATTTGCAAGACCTGATTTTATGGTAAACTAACTTTGCAAGACCTCTTTGTTAACTATACAGCCTTTACAAGACTACTTTACTATAGTAAGTGTCTTTGCAATACCTCTTTTCATACTAAAGAGTATTTAGCAAACCACAGTTCATACTAAATAGTCTTTACAACACTCATTTTCATAGAAAAACTTATTTTCAAGACCCTCTTTTCATACTAAATAATGTTTGCAAGGCTCTATTTCATAGCATATGTACTCTACAAGACCAATTTCTAGAGTAAACTAGCATCGCAAGACCATATTTTATAACAATTCGACTTGCAATACCCTTTACTGTAGTAAAATTCATTTGCAAGACCACATTGTATAGTAAATAAGATTTGCAAGACCTGGTTTATGGTAAACTAACTTTGCAAGACCTATTTGTTAACTATACAGCCTATACAAGACTACTTTATACAGTAAGTGTCTTTACAAGACCACTTTTAATACTAAAGATTATTTGCCAGACCACTATTCATACTAAATAGTCTTTACAACACCCATTTTCATAGAAAAACCTATTTGTAAGACCCCTTTTCATACTAAATAATGTTTGCAAGGCTCCATTTCATATATACTTATACTTTACAAGACCAATTTTTATTGTAAAATAGCTTTACAAGACCTCATTTTATAACAATTAGCTTTTGCCAGAGCACTTTTCAAAGAAAAATGCTTTTCAAGACCGTTTACTACAGAATGTCTTTGCAAGACTTCTTTTTGTAATAAATAGGCATTACAAGACCATTTTTATACAAAATAGTCTTTGCAAGACACCTTTCCATAGTAAATAAACTTTGCAAGACCAATTTCTATAGAAAAATAGCTTCACAAGACTTTATTTTATACCAATTCGCCTTTGCAAGCCCACTTTTCAGAGAAAAATATTTTGCAAGACCCTTTACTATAGTTATGTGCCTTTGCAAGACTTCTTTTTGTAATAAATAGTCATTACAAGACCAGTTTTCTCACTAAATAGTATTTGCAAGACTATTTTTCATGTTAAATAATCTTTGCAAGACCCCTTTTCATAGCAAATGAACTTTGCAAGACTAATTTCTATAGTAAAATCACTCTGCAAGACCCTATTTTATGCCAATTCGCCTTTGCAAGACCACTTTTCAGAGAAAAATATCTTGCAAGACCCTTTACTATAGTAATGTGCCTTTGAAAGACTTCTTTTTGTAATAAATAGTCATTACAAGACCAGTTTTCTCACCAAATAGTATTTTCATGTTAAATAATCTTTGCAAGACCCCTTTCCATAACAAATGAACTTTGCAAGACCAATTTCTATAGTAAAATCACTTTTCAAGACCATATTTTATACCAATTAGACTTTGCAAGATCGCTTCTCGGAGAAAAATGTTTTGCAAGACCCTTTACTATGGTAATGTGTCTTTGCAAGACTTCATTTTATAATATATTGTCATTGCAAGACCATTTTTCATAACAAATCATATTTGCAAGACCCTGTTCCATATTAAAGATTCTTTGCAAGACCCCTTTCCATAGTAATATGTTTTTCCAAGACCGCTTTTCATACTAAATAGTCTTTGCAAGACCCTATTCTATAGTAAAAAGTCTTTGCATGACCAATTTCTGTAGTAAATAGTCTTTGCAAGACTCCTGTTCATAATTGACAATATTTACAAGACCCCTATCCATAGTAAATAGTCTTTGCAAGACCCTTTTTTATAGTAAAATATATTTTCAAAGCCTCCTTTCACACCAACTATTATTTGAAAGTTTCCTTTCGATAGTAAATAGCCTTTGCAAGACTTCTTTTTATAGTAAATTAACTTTACAAGACCTCTTTGTCTTGATAAATGTGTTTGCAAGACTTCTTTTTAAAGCGAAATATTCTCTTAAATTAAAAATGTTCTCAAAACTCACCTGATATTTTTTAATACTATCCAACTGCTCGAGTGTGGGCTCTACTATTTGCGCTATCTGTTGAGGAGCCATCGCTACATTGTTGTTGCTCAAAGGCATGCCACGACGATCGGGCAGTTGTGGCGGCTGGGGTGTACGTTCCACGCGCACTGTATCACGAGGCGGTGGTACTGGTTTTAGGGAACCATTTAACTTTATTTTTTTTTTTTTTTTTGGTTAAAAAGAAAATTAAAAAAATTATTTATTAATTATGGATTTTTAATTAAAGTTTAGAGAAAGAGTAGAGTTTGTTTTAATAGTGTTCTATGATTGAGAAAATGTTGTTTCAATGTAGGTTTTATATTTAGTATATTAATGGGAAATAATGAAAATTAATGAAAAAGGTGTAAGAGATAAAGAGTAAATAATGTTTAAAGGGCAAAAAACAGAAAAGAAAAGGAAATAAACATAAGAAAGAAAAAAATTATGATATGAAAGAAAAATTATAAAATTTAATATTAAAATCTTTAAAAAATTGCACGAAAATTTGTTTAACTGTCTTTGTATTACTACTTTCTTTAGTAAAGTCCATTTGCAAGACCCTTTTTTATAAAGAAATATCCGCGCAATACCTCTTCTATAGTAAATGTATTTGCAATACATCCTTTTATAGTGTAGTTATATTGCAAGACCCATTACTACAGAAAAAAATACTTTGCAAGACCTATTACTAAAGTAAAAAGACTTTGCAAGACTCATTTCTATAGTAAAGAGCGATTTACTAGACCTATTTCTATAGTAAAGAGACTTATTTTAGTATTAAAGTTGCTTTGTATGACTCATTGCTATAGTAAATTACATTTGTATGTTCTTTACTAAATAGAAAAGACTTTCCAAGACCTATTACTAAAGTAAAAGTACTTAAAAAGACTTATTACTAAAGTAAAAGTACTTTACAAGACTCATTTATATAATAAAAAGCCTTTGTAAGACTTAAGTTTGTTTTGAAAGACTCATTTCTATAGTATAATACGTTTGCAAGACTCACTACTAAATAGAAAAGACTTTACAAGACCTATTACTAAAGTGAAAGTATTTTGCAAGACTCATTTATATATTAAAGAGCATTTGCAAGACTCATTTCCATAGCAAGGCTGTGAAATTCTATAGTAGAATACCTTTGCAAGACTTTTTCCCTTAGTAAATACTCTTTACAAGACCTCTTCCTATACTTAACTACTTTTGCAAGACCCATCTACATAGTGAATAGTCTTTACAAGACTTTTTCCGTAGTAAATAGTATTTGCAAGACCACTTTTCGTAATGAATAGTGTTTGCAAGATCCTTTTCTATATTAAAACTTATTTGCAAGACCGCACGCTATAGTAAATAACCTTTGCAAGACCCATTTACATAGTGATTAGTCTTTACAACACCCCTCTTTATAGCAAAACTTCTTAATAAGCCTATTTTCAATAGTAAATAGTATTTGCTAGACCACTTTTCGTAATAAATAGTGTTTGCAAGACCCTTTTTTATATTAAAACTTATTTACAAGACCCCACACTATAGTAAATAACCTTTACAAGACCCATTTGCATAGCGAAAAGTCTTTACAAACACCCCACTTTATAGCAAAACATCTTAATAAGCCTATTTTCAATAGTAAATAGTATTTGCAAGACCACTTTTCGTATTAAATCACGATTGCAAGACCCTTTTCTATATTAAAACTTATTTGTAAGAACCCACACTATAGTAAATAACCTTTACAAGACCCATTTACATAGTGAAAAGTTTTTACAAGACCCCTTTTTATAGTAAAACATCTCTAAAATACTTTTTTCCATTGTAAATAGTATTTGCAAAACCACTTTTCGTAATAAATAGTATTTGCAAGACCCTTTTTATATTAAAACTTATTTGCGAGACCCCACACTATAGTAAATAACCTTTACAAGACCCATTTGCATAACGAAAAGTCTTTACAAGACCCCTCTTTATAGTAAAACATCTACATTACCGTAGTAAATAGTATTTGCAAGACCACTTTTTATAATAAATAGCGTTGCAAGACCCTTTTTTATATTAAAACTTATCTGCAGGACCCCACACTATAGTACATAACCTTTGCAAGACCCATTTACATAGTGAATAGTCTTTCCCTCTTTATAGCAAAACATCTTTATAAGCCTTTTTTCAATAGTAAATAGTATTTGCAAGACCACTTTTCGTATTAAATTATGTTTGCAAGACCCATTTCTATATTAAAACTTATTTTCAAGACCCCACACTATAGTAAATAAACTTTGCAAGACCCATTTACATAATGAATAGTCTTTACAATACCCCTTTTTATAGTAAAATATCTTTACAAGACTTTTTTCCGTAGCAAATAGTATTTGCAAGACCACATTTCGTAAAAATAGTGTTTGCAAAACCCTCTTCTATATTAAAACTTATTTGTTTTAAATAACCTTAGCAAGAACATTTTCCCTAGTATATAGTCTTTGCAACACCCCTTTTCATAGCAAAACTGATTTGCAAGTCTTCTTTTCAAAGTAAAAAAGTCCCTTCTAAACCATTTTTCATAGTAAATTGACTATGCAAGACCTTTTATCCAAGAAAAAAGTATTTACAAGACTCCCTTCTATATCAAACTATAGTAAATTCTTTAAACCAAAAATTATAAATCTAAATAAATTCTTTCTCTTGCAAACATTATTTACTTCAATTACCCTTTGCAAACTGTTACTTTTAACAACAAATATGTCATAAATTAACCTTTTTAATGTTTAGTTTAACATCAGCCATTTTTTTGTTATTGTGACCTGTCAAAGTGTTTTGTGTGTCATTTTTCCCTAGTTAAAAGTGTCATGTTGCAAGTAAGGAAGCTAAGTCAGCCAGTCAAAAAGTAGCAAGCAGCAGCCTGTTTGATGTGGCTATGCTTGTCAAATAGTAAAATTTTGCTGATTGAAGCTTAAAAATTTTTCGCTCAAGTAAATTGCACGTAATTAAATTTTTTGTTGGCCTACATCAGAAAATTGCAGTTATTAGGAGAGTTATGTAATTGAATTTTCTGCAAGGTTGCTGAAGGTAAATTGGTTTTTAAAAGGAGGCATAATTTATTTATATAGAATTTAAAATATGGTAAAGTGTCTTTGTAAATCACTTTTATATAGTGAAAAGAATTTTGCAAGGTTCCATTCCTTAGTGTAATGGGTTAGCAAGATCTCTTACTATAGTAAAAATGACTTTGCAAGACCCATTTTAATAGAATAGTCTATAGTCGGCACTATAGAATAGTCTATTGTCGGGACTATAGAATAGTCTACAGTCTGGAATATAGAATAGTCTATAGTCGGGACTATAGAATAGTCTATAGTCTGGACTATAGAATAGTCTATAGTCTGGACTATAGAATAGTCTATAGTCTAGACTGTAGAATAGACTATAGTCTGGACTCTAGAATAGTCTATAGTTTGGACTATAGAATAGTCTATAGTCTGGACTATAGAATAGTCTATAGTCTGGACTATAAAATAGTCTATAGTCTGGACTATAGAATAGTCTATAGTCTGGACTATAGAATAGTCTATAGTTTGGGCTATAGATAGTCTATAGTTTGGGCTATAGATAGTCTATAGTCTGGACTACATAATAGTTTACAATCTGGACTTAGAATAGCCTATAGACTAGACTATAGAATAGTCTCTAGTCTGGACTATAAAATAGTCTATAGTCTGGACTATAGAATAGTCTATAGTCTGGACTATAGTTTAGGCTATAGTCTGGACTATAGTTTAGGCTAAAGTCTGGACTATAGTTTAGGCTATAATCTGGACTATAGTTTAGGCTATAGTCTGGACTATAGTTTAGGCTATAGTCTGGACTATAGTTTAGGCTATAGTATGGACTATAGTTTAGGCTATAGTCTGGACTATAGTTTAAGCTATAGTCTGGACTATAGTATAGGCTACAGTCTGGACTATTGTTTAGGCTATAGTCTGGACTATAGTTTAGGCTACAGTGTGGACTATAGAATAGTCTATAGTCTAGACTATAAAATAGACTATAGTCTAGACTGTAAAACAGACTATAGTCTGGACTCTAGAATAGTCTATAGTTTGGATCCTACAATAGTCTATAGTTTGGACTATAGAATAGACTATAGTCTGGACTATAGAATAGTCTATATCCTGGACTATAGAATAGTCTATATCCTGGACTATAGAATAGTCTATATTCTGGACTATAGAATAGTCTATAGTCTGGACTATAGAATAGTCTATAGTCTGGACTATAGACTAGTCTATAGTCTGGACTATAGAATAGTGTATAGACTGGACTATAGAATAGTCTATAGTCTGGACTATAGAATAGTCTATAGTCGGGACTATGGAATAGTCTATAGTCGGGACTATAGAATAGTCTATAGTCGGGACTATAGAATAGTCTATAGTCGGGACTATAGAATAGTCTATAGTCGGGACTATAGAATAGTCTATAGTCGGGACTATAGAATAGTCTATAGTTTGGGCTATAGATAGTCTATAGTCTGGACTACATAATAGTTTACAATCTGGACTTAGAATAGTCTATAGACTAGACTATAGAATAGTCTCTAGTCTGGACTATAAAATAGTCTATAGTCTGGACTATAGAATAGTCTATAGTCTGGACTATAGTTTAGGCTATAGTCTGGACTATAGTTTAGGCTAAAGTCTGGACTATAGTTTAGGCTATAATCTGGACTATAGTTTAGGCTATAGTCTGGACTATAGTTTAGGCTATAGTCTGGACTATAGTTTAGGCTATAGTCTGGACTATAGTTTAGGCTATAGTATGGACTATAGTTTAGGCTATAGTCTGGACTATAGTTTAAGCTATAGTCTGGACTATAGTATAGGCTACAGTCTGGACTATTGTTTAGGCTATAGTCTGGACTATAGTTTAGGCTACAGTGTGGACTATAGAATAGTCTATAGTCTAGACTATAAAATAGACTATAGTCTAGACTGTAAAACAGACTATAGTCTGGACTCTAGAATAGTCTATAGTTTGGATTCTACAATAGTCTATAGTTTGGACTATAGAATAGACTATAGTCTGGACTATAGAATAGTCTATATCCTGGACTATAGAATAGTCTATATCCTGGACTATAGAATAGTCTATAGTCTGGACTATAGAATAGTCTATAGTCTGGACTATAGAATAGTCTATAGTCGGGACTATAGAATAGTCTATAGTCGGGACTATAGAATAGTCTATAGTCGGGACTATAGAATAGTATATTGTCTGGCCTATAGAATAGTCTATAGTCTGGCCTATAGAATAGTCTATAGTCGGGACTATAGAATAGTCTATAGTAGGGACTATAGAATTGTCTATTGTCGGGACTATCTAATCTATAGTGTGGTCTATAGTCTAGTCTATAGTTATGACTATAGTCTAGTCTATAGTCTAGGTTATACTTAGTCCAGTCTATAGTCTGGATAATAATTTAGTATATGTACCTTGATTTTTTCATATTGCTAAAATTACCAGTTGAAGAAGTGTTTAGATTTTCCAAAACTACAGATTACAAACTACTAGAAGTTCTACAAGAAAAGGACTACAGAGGTATTGAAGGTTAAAGAGATAAGAAATTTTGTTTCAAGTTCAAGAAACTAGACAAAAAATAGGAACTAATTTTTCCTATTATTTACTAGTTAATCACAACTTTAGCAAAATTCCCCAATTACCAAGAGTTTCTAGAAAAAGCCTTTTTGCCAATTAGAAAGTAACCAATTTAAAGAAAACTTAAAAACAAACCTCTTCTAAACGTTTACCGGCCACTTGAGGCTGAGGCTTTTGTGTGCCACCCATTTGATGAAATCCTTGTTGTTGCTGCTGCTGTTGAAAGTCCTCATAGGAACCGTTGAGAGACATGGTGGAAATCAAAGAAGTTTCTTGCTGATTTTTTAAGGATTGAGGCGAAAAACTCATATTATGGGATTCGGTATTGGAGTTATTGCAAGAGTTAATGCGCGTTAGGGTAGTATTGGCCGTAGAGGCCGAAGAGCAAGAAGAAATTTGCGAGGAGAGAGAAGACAAATGAGCGGGAGGAGGATAACGAGGCGGAGTTTTAACTATTTCGATAAAACTGTCGGGAACATCAACAGGTAATTCACGATGTTTTATTAAGGGAGGTAAAATGCTAGATTTAGAGGAAAATTCTTTGAGTTCATACTCCGGCGGAGGAGTAGAACTAGAACTGGTGATGCTGGTTAGAGAATCACCACTGCCGGTATTAAGGCAGCCATTTAAAACCTCTGCAGAAAGACCATTGGATTTGTTGTTATGAAGGGAAGAAGTAGAAGAGGAGGAGGTGGTGGTATGCTGGTTATTGGGAGGCGAGGCTTTATTATTAAGATGATTATTATTGTTATTAGTCAACTGGCGATAGGAAATGGAATCATATGACTCGCCCGATTTCTTGCTCAAAACCTCACATTCAAACGACGAGGAATGTGAGGAGGAGCCTTTACGATATAAAGTATCAACCATTAATTCCAAATCATCAGGCGTAGTAGCTAGAGAACCTACCCCAGCATTGCCATTCGGATTATTGGTTACCGGCGCCGTTTTACCCTTCAAACTCAAGGCATTATTAAGTTTCTGCGACTGATATTCCAATTCCAGACAATTTTCATAATTTTCAATTTGATCCAATTTCAATTGTTGTCGCGTATTATAATCGTTTTGTAATTGTAATTGAGCCGTAGTATCGTTTAGATCCATTTTAGAGTTGGTGGCGTAAATACAGCCCGTAGAGGTGAATTTGATCAAAGTATGTTGAGTTGCATGTGGTGTGTTAGATGATTGTTGATTTTGTGTTGATTCAGCAGGATAATTAATAATAAATTTGGAATTATTTTGCATTAATTTAGCGGTACATTTGGGTAGGGTATTATTAACATTCGTATTAAAGTGAAATTTCTCTAGTAAAACGGGTGAATTGTGAGGTGAATTGTGATGGTGATTAAAAGGGGGTTTATTTAAAGAGCAAGATGATGATGAGGGAGTGGTAGTGTTGTAGGTGAAAATGGGATTGTGATATGATTGTGTTAGTGTGGTATTGGTGGTGATGGTGGTGTTGGTAATTGGTGTGGTGAATTTGGGACTTTGTGTTGGTGTATAACATTTACGTGGTGAATTAGTATAAATAATAGATGACTTGGGTGTTGTTGTGGGTGTATTTGTTTGAGATTTACGTCGTTTTTTCTTTACCTGTGGTGGACGGGGTGGTGGATAACGCGGAGGTGTTTTATTGCGTGCTATAAAATTGTCGGGACAATCCACAGCCATCTCACGATGAGGTCCTAGTCAAAAGAATTTAAAAAAAATTTATTTATATTTTTTTTAATGATCGAAAATCTACTCACCATTATCTTGATTTATGGACTTCAACATGGTGGTATACAATTCCTGATCAATTTCTTGTGTATCTTCTTCGTTTGTTGTTTGTCGTAGATGTGGTAAATTATTATAAACATCGGGTAGACAGGGTTTTAAATCTTCACTATCTAAAACCACTATACTAGAGCCGGAACGGCGGCGGGGC